GCCTTCTTCCTCCGTTGCCACACTGTTGTCGTAATGAAGAAGTATTAGACATTCCTAGACCTTCGACGTTCGACTGTTGACGACATGCGCCTTCTGACGTAAATCCGCCACGAGCAAGTGAATACGTCCGTTAATCACACCTTCATACGAAGCGAATCAAATCATCGTCGCGGTTTCGTTTTCCAGCGATTTTCCACACTATTTACTCAAGCAATGACACAAAGGTGAGCGCTGAGCGGTTTTTCTGACATCGTGTCTCCGCCCCGGGAAGCTAAATATGGCGCCGTAGCCCTTCAGACGACACGCGTCGCCGCTAAATTCGTGCGTTGTGAGAGGCTATTCTTGTCCCTGGGACACGGCGTGACTTGAGCAATCGGGTCTGAAATAGAAACTCGCGGCGTGAGCAAATAGACGGCCGCGGGCGCTGACCGACTCGACCTCCGGCGCGACCAACTCGGCGTTCCGATCTCTTCCACAGACCGTCACCATCGCCATGCTGTTGCCTGAACAGAACGGCTCCTACCATCTTCAGAGCGACGTGATCTACCAGCGCCCCTTTTTCTTTCCTTGAAATGACGCTTTTAGCTGGGAATCGCCCCTAAAAGCCCCTTACCCTAGTCAGGACTCACAGCTGCCTTCAGGTTTTTTCCCTGAGTTTTGAAGCCAGATTACCTGGCAGTTTGTGCAGGAGCTCTTGCCTCTGATACTACTGATAGCCTGGGTGAGCCGTCGAGCTCCGCTTCCGTCCTCCAGCACCTCAATCGACTTCTTTTGCTCTTCTCACCTCGCCTCACCGTCTCTGTCACTCTTTTTTACGCATAGTCTGTTGTTATTGTTGTTGATGTTGACGAGGGGAAACCTACAAAACACATTTCCCCTGCGGCAACCATCGTCCATCGATTTTCTTACGCCTATTTAGGTCTATACATTTTTCGTATTCAAAGCAGTAGGCTTTCATTAACTTTTTGCTCCGTTATTTTAATCATGGTGTGGCGGTGGTGTAGTGGCAGGAGACGCTACTTACCATGCTTGTGGTCCGGGGATCAAATCCCCCATTGAATCTCACCCAGCCAGCCAAGCTTTCCGAAGCTCCGGGAGTGGTTAATAAATCCAGACCTGTTCAAGTAGAAAAAATTGAAAGAGGGCTGATTCATTGGTCACCTGACCACAACAATTCGTTGTTGTATAAGCAAACCGCCTTCAAATATTGTTAAATTCTGTGTAAAATTGAAATGCACGGCGCATCCCGTAAGGGTCGGATGAACGCTGATTGCTTTACTGGTTCCTTCCGATTTCTCCTCCTCTTCATTCTTTTCATAGTTCTTCTTTTTTCAATAATTCTCAAAGGTCGTAAAGAACTTTTTAAGTCCCTTAAGAGCACCTAGACTTAATAGTCGTTGAGTTTTCATGGCATTATCGAGGCTGCTGTCCTTTTTTTGCATTAACGAATTGCTCCAATGAACTTGTCACGCACTTGGGTTTTTCCACTACATATACGCTACCTACTTTTCGCTTAGTAAAGAACAACTTGTGCACTTTTAGTCTGACCGCAAAATAGGGCAATCATGGGGGTTTTGAATTAGGAAAAGGGGCGAGAGCAAGGGCGACTGAAGGACGACTCTCTTCTATATGGCAGTGGTTGTCATTGAATGCCCGACGGTAAAAGCTCCACCTATTCACATTTTTCGGAACTCTTCTGATGCTCTGACGCAATAATATACGTAATAATATAACAGTGTAGTAATAATACATATAGTAGCATTTAATTTTTTAATAGTTTTTATTTTATAAAAATAATAGTCGAATACTTTTACCACTAGATAACCATTGGGTTAGCATTTGCATTTGATTTGTATTTTACCTGAAAAATTATTTTGAAACCTTCTCCGCTTCTTGGGCCCTTTGGAAAGCGTTGATAAAGTTTCTACAATCAACATGTGATTCTCATCGAAGCAGCATCGAAAGTTCTTGACTTTGAACTAATTTTCTGGAGTGCGCCATGCATTTTTGTTCCGTCGAAAATCGTCGAGACCTTTGCACCATGTTCATCGGCTTTAACTCAAGATTCAGTTAGTTAGCTCTTCTCACCACCCTTCACGCTATCGAAAGCTTCCTTCTTCTCTGTCATTCCTTTTATTTCTTTTGCTCTAATGCGATACTCCATTTGGCCTACTTTCACTTGTCTTCAATTTCCTCCCACTTGCCTTTCTTTTTTTTCTTGACGTTTCTTTTGCCTCTGCTCTTTTTTATCACGATTTCATTCTCAATTTCCCCTCTCCCTTTTCTTGGGTTCCTCTTTTACTTGTCCCTGGTTATTCCACATGAAATAATATACTTATCTTTCTTTTCCTGTCTATTTGTCTACTCGTTCTCTTTGTCACCTTATGAGCAAATTTTTCCTTAACTTCCTTTCTAGTCCATCTTCGGTTCATGCACCCCTCTTTTCATTCGTCCCACTCTGCCTTGTTTCTTTTTCATTTCTTTCTTTTTTTAATCTGATAGTATATTTCCTGTGCCTTTACTTCCCGTTCAAATTGAAGATAATCAGCCTCAACACTCCTTTCCCATTTGTCGTTGCTATTCCCTTTTGCTTATATCCAACTACGGACCATCTCACCGTTTCCTATCCATGATTTTTTGAATGGCCACAGATTTTTTCTTCCATCTTATCTTTAGAACATCTTAACTGCATCGTGTTCCTATCATGTTTTTCCCAGAATCCTATTTTTTTTTTTTCTCTTTCTGTTTCTGTCCTAAGCCCTTATCTCTACTTTTTCAATTATTATCGAACAGCGGCCCTATTCTTCAAATAGCGCGATTTTCGTGACCATTCCGCGTCCTTTACGAGCGCTTCCTGCTTCAGCGATCTCTGACTTAATCTGGATGGTGGTCAAGCTGTGTGATTAACGACTCGAACGGATGGGGGATTACATGACATCTGATTCCTTGGGGTATGCTGTGGGTAGTAGATAACCACCGAAGCAAGGACCAGATTGTTACTAATTTCCCGGGTCCATTTTCGGGTCAAGGTTGTTGAGCGGGCTGCTGTGGAACCAGAGGCCTTTAAGAGAACGATTTTCCTCTTTCGGAACGTCTCGGATTGCAGGGTGTTTGACGACAACGGGGGAGAGGGTAGGGACGAGAGACGCGTGAGGCGAGAAGCGCTTGGGCTGGCTGAATGGCTTGCTGGCTGGCTATTATTGACCTACACCAACACGATGATGCTGCTGCTGCTACAGCAGCTCGTGCTATTTCTGTTTACTATTTACCATACTTTGTTGTTATGCGTGCGTGTGAGTTAGCGCTAGAAATGCCATTAGACACTTGTTATTTCGTCGTATAGCCGTATCGAAGGTATATGGACATGTGTATATCAGTATATCCGTCTGTCTGTAGCCTCGTTTGAGGTCAGCGTTATGTCATGCTTCCGCAACCAGCCGCTTAAATTTGCATATGCGCATCGGTTCGAGGAGGGGAATGGATGACACAGGCCTCAGCGGACTGAGCTGGGCTGGGCTGGGCTGGCCTAGGCCGGCTGCCTGGATGGGTGGCTGGCTAGCGAACGGAACGGACCGGTTCTGGGGACGCGAAGCTCTGACGATCTGTCTCTGTATGTGTCTATCTCTGTGTATATGTGTGTATACGCATATGTGTATCTCTGTCTGTATCTATGCGTCATCATCAATTGACACACTACCTCCTCATTACGGGGGGACAACTCTGCCCCCGTCATCTACGACGGCCATCTGGCCTCTCTGCACTTCCGTATGTGGGGGGAGCTTGACCAATCAATGCTCCAACAGCACCAACACCGGGCTACGACGAGGCTCCGCACCAGCTGATTCGCCGCACTACGGCGACGGCCATCGCTGACCACCGCTCAGACCATGTGACCACCACGACTCCGCGTCGCCATTGTATCGGATCCCAGTCATTGGGCGAGCCTCATTCTCAATTCCCGACCTGCAGCTGCTGCTCCTACATGGTCCTACCCATTCAGTACTCTTTACAGTTTACCTTCGTGTTCCCAAGGAGTTCCAACTGATATACTACCGAGATTCGACACTTGCAAAATAATGCCGTCCGCCCTTGCCTCTTCACGTATACACCTTGAAACGGGAAAATTTCAGAAAATTCTTTGCAATCCATGACTTTATTTGTTGAGTTGCGCCGATATTTGAAAGCCCTTGAGAATCGAATT